TATTCCTAGTGACATGAAGCAACATTAATCTGTCTCATCTATCTCCATACAAGCCACTGGTGTGTACACACAGGTGTAAATGAAGGCAGGAGTGAAATATCCCCCCCAACTTGAACGGGCAGGAAAGTCTGTTTGCCGTCTCTTATCTTGTGCCTGGCACCTAATATAAGTATGCTTTACTGACAAAATGGAGGTGCAGAAGACAGAGATGTACTTTACCTGAGATCTGTGCCTGCAGTCCAGGGACTAAAAAGAGATCTCTATGCTTATTCACTCCTCCCTTCAGTAGTACAGAGAGATGGCCCAGAGGCCAGCCATAAGAGCATCCAACAATCTGTGGCTTCCAAGACTATTAAAAATCTGCATATTCCTTAACCCTAAAAGCACTTAGGGTGAGATTCCTATGAAGTCGCATGAAAGGCAGAATCTACCATTAAGCTACTTTTGAACATATTCTTGTCAGAGGTTTTGGCCTATCACACCTCACAAAATCCCATCATCACAACATTTCATCTGTAGTTTCCTGGACAGCAAAACAACCACTAAAGAATTTGTGGGTCATCTTTCACCATTGAAACAAAGAATTTCTGAGGGGGATTAGTGCAGAAAAAAGTCATTACATCCATTTAACAAAGCTCTCTGCAACTGGAAAGTTTTGAGAAAGGAGTAAATTGATCTCTAACATGTTTGCCCCCATTGTGTTTTCACTGTGATGTTCAGATCATTGTCTAAAATATACATGGTTATGAGACAGGACAGGAAAGCAATTGTCCAGAATGAGACACAGCTAACTCTCTTCCAACTATAATTATATAGTTGAGTTACACAACCTACACATTTGAAGCATTATTTTTATTATTTTTTATCATTCCTAAAAAATTTAATAAAGACAGCCTAATCTGCAGATACTTTTACAGTGCACAGTTAAGACCAGAAATAAGTCACAGATATATGCAGAAGAACAGACAGGATACTTCCCAGTCCATGCTGAGTACTTAACCTTTGCCTACCAGAAGAAGCCTAGGCACTATACCGAATTTCAGCAAACAATACATTTGTCAAGGCATTTTGAAAAGTTTATCAATAAAACTTTGCAGAATTGTCACCGGGGAACTATTCTAGAATATGCCTTCTCCTACGCAACTCAGCTCACAAAACATTATATCCGAATGCCGGAAATTTCCCTTATTTAAAAATCTCAAAAGAAACCACAAGATAATGCACTGAACTTAAGCTGCCTTGGTTCCACACACTAGGAAAGAATTTTGCAAGTGAAACTAATACTAAATTAGTTTTGTGGGGTTTATAAGCTCTGTAGTCTTACCAAAAAGACTACAAAAACCTACTTGCAAGTGATTACAGTAACACTTATTCCGCAAGCAGATCTCAAAAAAATAATCAAAAAATATTTCAAAACATCCCAACCATCTTGCAATAACTGCAACATTTAAATATGGTTAGGTAATAGTTAGGACTAGTAGTCACTACAGGTAATCACAGCTATTTCTATACATTTCAGCATTTTGTGGAACCCTTACAATAGCGAAGTGTCCAAGTCAGTCAGCCATTCAAGACCTCATACAGCATAGATTTACAGCAGTTTCACAACATACATTACAGGAAAGAAACAGAAGAAACAGAAGAAACCTGGATTTGCAGAACCAGACTCCACAACCTGATAGTCAAATCCATTCACCTCCTGAATTCTGTATGACATCAGCAAACTCACATGTTACACTGCAACAGAAAATTAATTGCAACCACCACATGTTGAAAGCAGTTAGTTCCAATTAAATTATTTCACCACTGTTTGACATGGATCAGTGATGAGGCCCCTTTGCCTCTACAGTCAGCTGTTCATAGATAAATACACATCAGTTACCTGCACTGTTTCAAGGATCTCAGTAGGTATTCATGTCTTAGAGATATGGGTGGAAGCAGTCCACACATTCATACAAGAAAAGCTACATTCCCCATTCTTTTAAGGCATGTGGGATGTAGACATCCAGATAGCACCTGGATAGCAAGTGGGACATTTTGATACACAGGAAGTACTCATTACAAAAACCTATGTGAAGAAAGATCAGCATTTGCCTTCAGATCATAAAACGACTGAACTCTGAATGTGGTAAGAGAAGGAAAATGAGAAAAACAGCAAAAGAAAAAATTTTCTCACACTCATCATGAGAAACAAGCTATCTAAGCATACAACAGGAAATAACTTTCTCTCTTTTGGTTCGGCTTCAATGAACAGCTTCCGAAAATGGTTTTTAAACCTCTTTGTTGAATCAGTTTTAGGCACTGACAAAAACATGTTCTCATGCCACACCATCAAGATGTCAAGTTTGATATTTCTATTATCTGGGGAAAGAAAGGAAAAGAGATAAGCAAAACCAAAATGGAAGCATAAGAAGTTTACAGCAACAGGCTTCATTCTCAGAAAGAAATTTAAAAATGGTGTTCTGCTTCAGTAAATAGAATCCTACTAAAAATCTTTCATTTGTCAAATGTTAAGCAAATCATGCACTACATTAAAACGCACTCTAAAACAGCTCTTGCGTCAGCTAGATGTTTACAGCTCTGAAAATGTCAAAGAGTGCAGCCTGGCAATAGATAGCAAGGAAAGATACAGGGTAAGAAGTCAATGGAATACCTGGAAAAAATACAAAGAAAGTACTGAAGAGTAAGATCAATTACAAGTGTTTATTACCTTTAGGACTGTATCTTTTAAATGATAATTTTGTAAATACTTAGAACTAGACTGAGTCATTATATACTTGATAGAAGATGCTTTGAAAAGCATGCCTTCTTAAAAGAGATTAGTTGATTTCTGGCTTCTTCCAGCAAGCTGATCGCTGCAACTGGTTTTCCTGCAGTCTTCTTTTTCCTCAGTCCCATTTGCCAATATGTAAAAGTAAACAGTTTTTGAAAAGAAGATTTTACTAGTATCATGTTTTTTAATTTGTTTAAACATAGCCTAGCATTACTCACAATGGCAAAAACAGTGGAGTGTCTTCACTTAGGCACAAAGATTTGGCAAGTTCTTCAACCATATGTGCTCCTCATGGGCCCACAATATTGATTTTTGACTAAATCAACACAAACAAGACAGAAAGAAAGATCTCCTAGGTGTCACAGAGAAGAACACAATGGCAAGCTAAAGATGCTACAGAAGCTGACGAAGTAGAGCCAAATTTTACAGAATAAAATTCAGTTATAGCAAAAAAACTACAACATACAAGAGTTAAACATGACTACTTTTAAGTGATCAATTATTTAAACAGATGTGTTGGGGATGGCCTATTTTTATTTTGTTTATTTTGCTCTTTGGCCTAAGAATTGGTTTAAGTAAGGCCTATAGTGAGGGAAGAGCTGAATACTTCAGTACATTTCACATTTTCAGTAAGAGAGCAATAATTTCAAAATGTGGTGGCTATCATAATGAACGGCTAATTAACTACAAGTGGTAAGCTATTCTGGTGGCTTTACCAATACTGCCTTCAGGCTGCAAAATGTAAAAAGAAAAAAAAGACCATAAAGGACTGTTACAGGAATCTACCGAGGTTACAGACTTCTGCTCGGACTTTTCCATCTAGGAGTAGCACAGTTGGCTCAGGGCCCATGACGTAGATGCACATTCCAAAACGATCCTGTAACTTGGATGACACCTCTTAAGTTTTACGTTGTTTTAAACTCTCTACATATTATTTCCTCCTCATCTCTGGTTAATCAATGTTTGTTAATGGGGGTGGAAAAAGCAGCGGAAAGAAGTATTAATATATTATATTTAATTCCTATATTGCAGTATTCATTTCTATCTCAGTAAAAGCTGTGTGACTATGTCATATCAGTGCTTCTGCACTAGAAGTTTCTAAAGCAAAGCAGACAAAGACAACACAGTTAGTTAGGACATTTACCACTTTCAGGCATGGCTATCCATGTGTATATGATTCAACAAAGACCACGCCTTTAAATATAATCTTTGAAAAATGGAACGTTTACTATGAATTACAGTAACATGTCTAGAAGGCAATATAAAGCATCACTGTCTTTTCACCTCTAGCATTCACCCTTAGGTTGCAATCTAGAAATAAAACTGTTTAATGGCAGATCACTTTAGATATGCTCAAACTACCTTCAAATGTTGTTTTGGTTTCACGTCACAAGAAGTAAAAAAAAAAACAAACCAAAAAACAACAAACCAAAAACCAACCAAACCAGATTTATCAAAACCAGAAGGGGGTGCTCTGAATAACTGAGGTGGGGGGTACTGAAAGGAGCATTTGCCTTGCACTAGTAGAGAGGTCAACAGCACAGTCTTGTTTTAGTTTGGGAGCTCACTTAAGTTCAGGATGCCATGCCTTTTTTACAAAGAAGGAAAAAGAAAACAAACAAACGAAAAAAAACAGACTGAAAAGCAGGCCTGCTCCTTTTAGCATAAAGGAAATGCTTCGGTTCGTGCTATTGTCATCACAAGGACAAATTAATCTATGACAGAAAACTAGCAACACAAAGACCTGGCAAGTGTTAATTCCAGTTTTGTATCCCATAATTTGCAAGCTGTTCAAGATACTGACAAGGAGGTATAGGGAACGCAAAGAAATCCAAAAAGCCCATGCTACGGGTTTTACCTACACAATGCCTATTCTGACATAACTAGTTCAGGTCTTTTTAATGTGACTGTACCGAGTTGATCCCTTATAGCGAACTATGTCCCGAAATGAAAGAAACGGCCCTAGATCATTCTGCAAGTGTAACACAGTATTTCATCTCTGCCAGCACTCTGGTGCATCAACCTCCCCCCACCCAAAACGAGAAAAAGATACGCACATTCCAATCGAGCCTCTCTCAGCAGGGCTCACCCAGTTCCCCCCTTCCTTCCCTCCCTTCCTCCCTCGCCCCAGGCCTTGCCAGCTTCCCAAATCACCGCTGATTTTAGGCTTCACTCTGCTGTAAACGGCAAAACGAAAGGAGAAAGCTTCCAAAGCGAGGATCCTTACCCTTGAAATCCCGCCATGCGCGCAAATAAGGAGGGTGAATTGTTTTTCCTCCTTTTTTTTTTTTTTTTTGGATGTGCGATGAGGGGGGAGGGGGGGAAGAAACAAAAGCCTGCACGGAGGAGCGGCTAAGCGGCAGAGACTGAGGGAGAAGGCGGAGACCCTGCTGGAGGAGCAGGGCGAGCGTCAGCCATGTTGTGTGTGTGTGCGTGTGAGTGTTGGTCCAGTATTTACAAACCTGCAGCTGCAGCAGCGTTTGGAGCCTGGGAGAGAGAGAGAGACGGGAACGCGGGGAGGGAGAAGGAAGGGAGGGAGGGAGGAAAGGAGCGAGGGAGGAGGGGGAAGCGGCACGGCAGACAAAGGATGGCAGCAGCGCAGGGCGAGCGGGGCGCGCACACCCTCCCGCGGCTCCGCTCCCCCGCCGCCCTCACGGCCCCTCGTCCCGCGTTCCCGCCTCCACCTCCCCCGGGGGCCGCTTATCCGCCGGCAGCCCCTGGCGGGCCCCAGCCCCGGCCCGCACACAATAGCTCCGCAGCGGGGAAAGGGGGAGGGCAGCGCTCCCCTCGGGGTGAATGCGACGCGGGGCCGTGCCGGGGGAGGGCGGCAGAGCCCCGGAGCCCAGAAAGGCGGGGGGGTTGCCAGGCAGCCGGGGCGCTTGCGGGGGAAGGGAGGGCACAGACGGCAACGCCAGACCGGGGCCCCCGCGGCCCCGATGCCGCCCGCGGCTTCCGGGCGGGGAGGGCGGGGGATGAACGATGGAGCCCCGGGAGAGGAGAGGCGAGGCGCGGCCGGGCTGGGAGCGCCGGTCCCCCCACAGCGACTCCCTCCGGCTCTGCCCGGTACTGGGCCGGGCCAGGCCAAGGGCGGCGCGACGGGCTGCGCTCCCCCCGTCCCCTCCCTCGCCCCGCTCGCTCACCTGCCGGCGGGGCGGGCGCCCGGGGGGTGCGGGCGCTGCCGCTCGGCCCCTGCCCGGCCGGGGGCCGCTCAGCTCCTCGGCGGCGGCAGCGGCGGCGCGCGCGGCCGCTCCCCTCGCCTCGCTCGTCCCCCTCCGCCGCCGCTGCCTCCTGCTCGCCTCTGCCACATTTGGATCCCCCTCTCCCTACGCGAGCTCCGACGCCAGGATAGAGGCCTCCTCACCTTCCTGCCAAATAGTGAGCCGCCCGCATCTCGCCGTCACCCTCCGCCCCCGCGCGGCCCCCCCCCCCGCCGCCGCGCAGGCGCACTGCGCCGCCCCGACTGCGGCGAGCGCCGAGCGGCCCCGCCCGCGCCGGGCCCGCTGGGGCCGTGCCCGCCGCCGCCTGAGGGCCGGCGGGGCCGGGCTGCGGGGTCCTGCCGTCCGCACCTCGGAACGGCGCTCGGGGGGCTGCTGGTGGTGTTTGCACAGAGTCGCGGAGTCACGGAATATCCCGAGTTAAAGGGACCCACGAGTGTCACCGCCAATCGGGAACAAAACGCCTTAGGGCCAGTATACACGAAGGAGCGGGCGTTGCTTTATCGCAGCTCCCGGCGCACGGTGGGATGGCTCCGCCCGGCTTGCGTGCCGGGCTCCAGGTGATGCACTCGTGAAGTCACTGGAGACTGCGCAGTTCATCTGAGAGGGTCTTTTGGGGGGTCCTTTATGGACCCCAGGTGGTTGCTGAGCCTCTGAACTTCGGCCGACCCCGCACCGCGATCCTCCCGTGTGGGGCTGGGTTTAGCTCTGGTTATGTAATCTCTTAACAAACTGGACTGGACTGGTTTGACTCGTTACAGAGGCTGTTTCAGGAGCCCTCCAGGTTCCGCTCTCCGTTATTTCTTCCTGAGCTATGTACAGCACAAGGATCATCGAGTCCAGCTCTCGGCGATGCCCCGTGTGCCTCAGAGCTGCCTCTTTTGCCTCATTGTCCAAATGCTCCTGAACCCAGGCAGGCTTGGTGCTGAAGAAGGAGCCCAGGAGTGTAGTGTGGGTGCCAGAAGGCTGACAAGCATTTCACCTGAGCAGGCAGAGTGTTTTGTAAACAGTGCAAGCGACAGCACGTTGCATGCTTGCATGAAATCGTCTTCTCGTTTCAAGAGAGGCAACACCACTAGGATGGAGAAAAGAGTAGTTCCTTCAAAATGTAAAGGGTTCCTTTAAAGACATGTTCTCACCTATGCATTAGGGAAACAGAAAAAAGGAGGTGGGGGATCACTTCACAAATCATGGGCTGTCCTGCAGTGCTCCCAACAAGCTGAGAGGCAGTACCTGAGGGGGCAGTTTATGGAAAACCTGCAAGTAGTCAAGATCTGTTCAGCAACTGACAAACCATAGATAATTGTCATCTTCAGAACCATTAGTGTTAAATGCCAAGACACCTAGGAGAGAAGTAGCAAGCTTCTTGACTCTCGTGGGGAGTTGGACTTGATGATCTCAGAGGTCCTTTCCAACCTGGCTGATTCTATGATTCTGAATATTAACCCATTGAACTTTTTGTTCCATGGGTTTCCCCCACACCTGAGGGATCAACACTGCGACCACCACTTCGATCAGTGGACATCTAAATTGCAACAATCAAGGCTCAGTGCTGCGTTCACAGGTGGATCTACTCTTATCCTTTCCTTCTCTTTCCTTCTTTTCCTTATACGTTTTCTAAGGTGTTATTTTAATGCTTATATAAATGCTTATAGCAGCATTTTTATGCTGCTATATTTAAAATAATAACCAAAATGGCTACATACATGCTTTCCATTGCAATCAAATTGTTCTAAACTAAACCCTACATATATATATATATTTGCAAACACTGATCGTTCAATATCCACTCAATCTAATCCGCTCCAAGGGACCTATTAACAATAACTTCAGTTACCCTCATCTTCTAGTGTGGCATGTTATAGTCAGTAACATCAATCTCTGTAATAATTATTAAGCTAGTTTTGAAATTATTGATTTAACAAATAGTGCACTATACTAGTAGTTGCAATTCTGAATAAAGTCTTTTAGTCTAATAAAGTCTTTTAATCATTATCATCAATTAAAATAAATTATTTACCTCGCATAAATCTATTTGATTTTCAGGGTTGTATTTAATCCTGCAGGACAAAGTCATATAAAGGTTCAATTACACCTATGCAATTCTTTAGACATAAGTTGTTGACTAAGTCTGGGACTAGGATTGGGACAAGACTCATCTCTGAGAAGGAGTTCAGAAAGCAAAGGAGCCTTTTATGACCCCTCTGTCTGTGGGGAGGGTCTCTCTGATAAACTTTGTCTGAAGCTTCCATTCAGTCCATCACGTATAAGAACCAATTCCAGATACACTTCTTGAGTTCAGATGCGTCTAAGTATCCAGGGAGCCAGATCAGTGTGCGGTGCTGGCGTCTGCTGTTACCACCCCGACTCACAAGCCTTCCAACTGAACCACAGGGTTGTCTCTCTGTTTATGGGCCACAGAAAAAAAACGGGATATGGCTGCTTCTTGAATGAAATACTGTTTGATTGCAACCCGGCATTGTCCTGTTGATCCTGAAGTCATCAGACCAAGTGTGAAATCAACACAGACTAATTTCTGGAGAGATACCTGTGTCCTAGGAGCGAGGGCTGCATTCAGTCCTGCACACATTGCTGACACTGTAGTGTCATTGTGTTGTTGGGGGCTGGGGTTAGGGAGGAGGAATTTAAAAGAGAAACTGTAACTGGGAAACTGGTAATCCTGGGCTGTGTCCGGGTGGTCGTAGTTGTTTTCTTCTCTTACGAACAATGGGAGAGCCATTACCTTGGAAAACAGTCATAGAAGGGATCCTCGGATGCTATCCATGGTTTCAAGAGCTACCCACTCTTCCAAGTTCTCTGTGTATACGGGAAATTGTCCACAGGAGACAGCATTTTCATGCCTGGAAGGAGAAAGGCATAATCATGAATTCCCATTGCATGCCCATCAAAGGTGCTATTATCTCCGAGGCATAGGAGACTGATCACTTGATTGAGAAGCATTTGAAATTAACTGCCCATCAAGGCCATGAGTTTTTTCTTCTGAATTGCCAAGAGCGCCTGCCTGACTGTCTGTAGGCGTGGCAGTGCACAACAAACTCTGTAATCCTTGCAGCGTTGGATCTGACCTCCTGCATCTGACCTCCTGCCGCAGCCAGACTGTGTGAATCTGTGGATTGCCAGAGCACGACCTTGGTGCCTGATGTCCGTTCAGGTTATCTGAGGTGGTGGAGGTGGTCATGTCTGTACAGAGAAACTCCAGAGTGCGCAGCTCTCTGACATCTAATTAGCAATTCATATGACATGGCAAAGTGTAAGCAACAGAGGCCCTCAGATGCTGACAAAAGCAAAACCAAATACTACATTTTGCCCTGAATTTTCTTCTTTATGGGAGAGAGACAGCAGTATTTCTTGGAATTGAGGATGAGTAGTTCCTTCAGAAGGATTCCTTTAAAATTGTGGCCTTTTTTGTCATCCATGCAGCAGGGAAACAAAAAAAGAGAGTTGAGGAACATTTCAAAAATCCCTGCTGAAAAAAGCACAGGTTACAAGTTCTTGACACAGTCCTGATGGACATGCTGAACTGTCATTGGTGCTCCTAGCTTTCAGGTTCCATTAGGGTGGAAATCCTTCCATTAGAGCTTGGCATGACATAATGTGACTTTTTTTACTACAACAACATAAGACAAGAAACTTTAATGCATGACAACCCACAAAACACTCTTTATTTGGATTCCTGTACCTTAAGAGTCATGAAAAATTAGATTGGAGACAATCATATTGTGAACTCAGAATGCAATTTAGCTTAATTAATAATATCCTGCAAACTGTCTTCTAACTTAATCAGTGTTTTGTTGTTTGGTTTTTTTTTTTTTTAAATGATGTACAAAGACTTAGAATTTTGAAATGCTTTAAGTGCTGCAGTTTCCCTGGGAGTAGTACGGCTGAAATCCCCCCCAAGCTTTGAAGGCAGTTGGAATGTTTTGGGTAGGAACCAGGTTCCCTCCAGTTCCAGAAAAATTTTCTTTTCTAACAGTTTTCTTTTCCTAGGCTAAGAAGAATCAGCCTTAAGTACTGAAGAAACAGTGCTCTGTTGACTTGATGGTAGAATCAGAAGCCTCTTAACCCAAGTGGGAAAATCTTTACTTGATGTGAATTTGAAGGAGGAATGACATCTTGCCTCCAGGCCTGATTTTCAATCAACATCTTTAAATGCTGGGATCAGCCAGCCTGTTGTTTAAATTATTTTTAAGGTACTAAGCAAGGGAACTTAATTTCTTTATTAAAGGGTAACTTTAAGTGGTGCCCTGGTAAATTTTTCTATTCCAAGAAAGTTTTCATAAAGCTGATGCAGAAGTTATTTAAAATTAAGGGAAACAGAGGCCACCTTCTAGCATGTTTACTGAATGCCATAGTTGCACTTATGTAATGTCCTGTCTACA